TTGAGCCTTCTTTTCCTTTTTGGGCAAGGTGCAATGCAATTGAGCATCAATACAATTATTTTCTAAAGGAAGTCATTTGCAGCTATATGGTGCACATACATTACGAATGATACCAACTAAAATTGTAACATCATCATTGAATCTCATGTCACCAAAATAAAGAAGTCCGGGTTTAGTACTAAATAATAATAGCAAAAAGAACTACTATTACATTATTGAATAAGTAAATATAGTAAATGTTATCTAATAAAGAGTGTTTTCCCCCCTCTTAATCAATTTATGTAAGAATCCAAACACCAACAGTAATAATCAGACCGTGAGATTTCCAACAATTGTGCAGGCGTCATCTTCTCAAATTCAATTTGTCTCCATGACCCAAAAATATTACAAGTTTTTGGGTCAATAACAAGTGGCCACTCCTCCATTATATGAGCTTGTGATTTCATTTTCATGTACAACCTCATTGTTGCCACACAATCATCATATGGATCTTGAACTCTTGTCTGAATCTCATACCTATCAATCACAACATAATTTGATTTTAATTTTTGAAATTAAGTTTTCATATTTAGAAACTGATAAAAAACAATATAAGTCACAATAGTTAACAATTTTAAGTATTTACGTACGTACCCAAGATAAGTTTTGGTCAAGTACTTGAGTGAGTTGCTGTTCTTGTTTGTGTCCATCAGTGGAGGGTATTTTGCAGTATCCCTTCATACAAATTTAAAAAACGTCAAACAATATGAGGAATTTACATAATATAATACAATAATTTTTACGTCATAATTAATTGCCTTATTTATCAGGTTATTGATCGTTGTCACTTACCTTATCATTACTGATGAGTATTGGAGTCCTAAGCATTTAAAAACACGATCCAAATCGTGACCAACAAGGATCCTAGCCCTTCCACTTCCAGAATGAATTTGCCAAAGAAGTTCCCCATTACAAATATAATATTGAATTTTTCCTGCTACTTGGTTTATTGGCATTGTATTCCTCATGTGTTCTGGACTTATCCCCGATGTTTCATACCTAAACATTCACATTATTATTCAATTCGTCTACATTAGTTAATTAATTAATTGATTACCTGTAGTTAGTGATTGGCCTATTTGGTGCAACGTAGGAATCAAAGAGGATTCTTTCATGTTCATCAATTAGACAAACTCTTGCACAAAGGTCAATAGAATCATCGATGCCACCACCTACTATTTTACAAGAAATAGCAACAACTTTTCTTTGGATATTGTCAATCCTTAAGTCATTTGGAAACCCCAATCTCGCCACGCGATAGAGAAAACCCTGGAAAATAATCATCACAAGTATAAAGATTTGAGCAAAATAGGATAAGTTATTGAGTTTGAATAAACATATATACATTATTTGAGCGTGAAAGTTGACATAATTCCTTGTGAGCCCTTAATGCATTACGACTAGCAAAGAGTGTCAAACAAATGTTACATCCTAGCTCCTTGAAAATCTTTTCACAATTAGCCTTTGGTAATGGCCCTAAAATAAAAATAGAGCAAAATTTGTTAGCAATGTATAATCATGTTACAAGTCATATGACTAATTAGAACTTTTTGCTAGAAAAAAAAATTGTATATACCAATAAGGTGTTGTCTCAAAGATGCAAAAGATCGACAATGTTTTTCACAAATCCAACACATAGGTTCATGAACTGAATGATAGGATGTCCTCATGTGTTCAACTAGAGACTCCATTGTGTTGAACTTCTTATAGCATGCTGCACATTTCCTGTAGTCCATGAAATTTGTAAATAATTCAGCTATTATTTCAAAAGCTCGAGAAAACAGCCATAGGATAGAAAGACAATACAAATAAATTTACAAATAGAATGGATGACTACTTAGCCAAACTGACTTCTACTAGTGGATCTGGAACCTTCTACCTCTCCTATCAACAATTGTACGTAGAGCAAGGTTAAAGGTTTAAGTCTATTAGACAAATGGCAACTTTTGAGGAGAAGATATGAAAATAGAAAAAAAAGAAATTTTGTGTTACTCTTAGTATTAGTCCATCTGATAGGTTAGGTTATAAGGTACATGTCTCCCTCTAACCCTTGTAACTTTTTGTTATATATCGATATGATAGGGGTCGTCAAGATAACCCCTCACACCAAAGACTCACAAACTAAGGTGATGGCTTATACAAAAACCATCTATATATACATGATTATTAGTGCAGTTAAATATAATGAAACATTAATTAACCTATTTTTACAAATCAAAATTCACTGATAGTAAAAAAAATCCTATATAATTAAAATCCATTTGAAAGAGTATCTATCATGAATGAAATAAAAACAAGTTAGTAAAACTTTGTGCAAAAGACATTTATATATAGTACCTGAGAGTTTGAGAAGTCTCATATCTATGGTCCATGACATTAGTAGCGCTTGGAAGAATTATTAAAAATTGAATAGAAAAGAATGAAATGTGAGAATAGTTGAGAGGGCATCAAGGTATTTATATAACAGAAGACAAAGACTTTCAAAAAATTTTGAGTGCTAATTAAGCAAGATTTTGTAAATTATCAAGTGCATTAAAAATCTCACTTTTATAAGATTGTATCTTAATTAATAGATACATATTCCATATTGACTAAATTAAATATGCAAAACATAAAGTTGTTACGATGTAGTAAAAAAATACATATCCACTTAGCCAAACTGGCTTCTACTAGTGGATCTGGAACTTTCTACCTCTCCTATCATCAACTATCGAGCGAGGTTAAAAATTTAAGTCTACTAGACAAATGACAACTTCCTTCAATGAGGAGGAGATATGAAAAGAGTAATTTTTTTTTGTAAAGTTAATATGACTTTTGATTAAGATGCGAAGATCTTGTATAAGCTACTCCTTCCCATCAACTTTTTAGGTGTTACTCTAAATTGTACTAATCCCTCTGATAGGTTAGAGGTAAGGTCGGACTCCATGTCCCCCTCTAATCTTTTGTAACTTTTTGTTATATATCGATATGATATATATAGGGGTTAAAGCTAAGTGATGACTTATAAAAAAAATCATTTGTATACATGATCAGTGTAGTTAAATATGATAAAACATTAATTAATCTATTTTAAGGATTAAAATTCACTGATAGTGAAGAAAATCATATATAATAAAAATACATTTGAAAGACAAAAACAAGTTAGTAAAATTTTGTGAAAAGACGTGTTTATAGTACCTGTGAGTCTGAGAAATCTCATATATATGGTCCATGACAACAACAATAGTGCTTAAGAAATATTTAAAATTGAATAGAGAAGAATGAAATATGAGACTAATTGAGAAGGCATCAATGTATTTAAATAGGTAACAGAAGGCAAATCCTTGAATTTTTTTGAGTGCTAATTAAGCAAAATTTTGTAAATCATCAAATGCATTAAAAATCTCACTTTTATTAGATTGTATCTTAATTAATAGATATGGACTAAATTAAATATCCAAGACAGAAAGCCGTTACGTTGTAGTCAAAATGCTTGGGGCCCTCAATTGGGCTATTCTAGAATATTTGAGAGAAAATGGTCAAAATAATTCTTGAGGTTGAATTATTTTTGTCCTTGATTTATACTCCCTTCATTCTATATTAGTTGAACTTTTGCGGTGTTTCACACCCTTTAAGAAAAGTAGATTAAAACATAAATTAAACATAATTTTTCATTTTTACCCTTATTAGTTATTGTCAAATTTATTGAAGTCATCACATTGAAAATCCAAATGAAGGGTAAAATTGAAAGAACACTCTAAAAGTAATCTAGAAAACTGAACAATATATTAAGCTAATTTAAAAAATGAAAAATGCCTCAAAAATTCAATTAATATGAAATGGAGGGAGTATCACTTCATAAATATAGTGTTTAATGTACCTAAAATGTGCTTATTTTGATATTTTAACTGTAAAATTTAGTAGTTTCTGTTAAAGTTAAATTAGAAAATTGTTATTCCCTCAGTTTTTTTTATATGTCACTTTTTTAGATTGTACTTGTATTAAGAAATTAAGCAACTTTACCCTTCTCCCTTTATTTAATGTTTTCTTAAGTCAACTTTTCAATAAAGGATGAATATACTAGATTTCTAAAATTAAAATGCATTTGGATGACTATTTAAATTTTTTGGTTTATTTTCAAAAAGCAGACTTTATAGAATAATGAATGGAGAGAGTAATTAATCAATGTATGAAGTACTCCAATGAATATTAATTACTTATTAGTTTTCCTAGATTGGTCAAATTATATATTTTCAAGACTAATTAATTACTCTATCAAGGGTATAATAGGAAGAATATGGTAATTTATGCATTGATTAATGACAAGTATTTTGATCCAACTATTTATAAAAAAAATTGACATATATAAAACGAAACGAAAGGAGTAATTTTTTATTTTTTTAAACCAAATAGAGGGGGACATAAAGCCTAACGTCATTTTACATCTTAGAAAGATCATATCCTATTAAGATTCTGATTCAAAGATCTTTACAAAACAAAATAACTATACGAATGCATTTAAACTACAATTGTTAATGGCTTAATGCATATAAATAAAAGTACTCAAAAAGACTAATACCTGGCAATTGTTAAATTTTCATGGTTTTCTTTTTTAGAGTTAAATAATAAGAATTTTGACTAACATTTTACGATGTATTTTTTCATCATATTGATATGCAAGAAATTACAATTTATAGTACTTTTAGTATAGTTTTTGAATATCTAAATTTTTTGTTTAAAATACCGAATTAATGTAATCTAATTTAACTTTAAAAATTTGTCAAATTGACTTTCGAAAAGCACAACATGACGAATAAAAATGGACGAAGGTAGTAGAATTAAAGATCAAAATGGTCATATAATTTCATACATTATATCAAAAACCAAAACAACTCAAAGATGTAGTAATAATAAAAAGTAATACTATTACATTATTGAATAAGTATATATCATAGTCGATTGTCGTTCAGTAGATCAATTTCCTAGGAATCCAAACACCAACAATAATAATCAGACCGTGAGATTTCTAGTAATTGTGGAGGCATCATCTTCTCAAGCTCATTTTCCCTCCATGATGCAAAATTATTACGATTTTGTGGGTCAGTTGCAAGTGGATAATTCTCCCTTTTATGAACTTGTGATTTCATTCTCATGTACAACCTCATTGTTGCAACACAATCATCATATGGATCTTGCACTCCTATCTGAATTTCATATCTATTCGATTACAAGACAATTAAGATTGATTCAGGACGATGTGTGAATTTGAACATAAAAAGTCACAATAATTAACAATTTAAAGTATTTACGTATGTACGTACCCAAGATAAGCTTTGCTCAAGTACTTGAGTGAGTTGCTCAGCTTGCTTGTTTTCATTAGTGGAGGGTATTTTGCCGTATCCCTACATACAAATTAAAAATATTAAAAACAAAAAACATTAAACAATAGGAGAAATTTACATATAATTTTTTACTTTGATTGTAATTAATAGGAGTAATTAATGTAATTTAGTAAATTTACTCTCTTATCATATTACTAATTGTACATGCATGTTGTGTTTACCTTATCATTATTGTTGGGTACTCAATTTCTAAGCATTTTAAATCATGATCCAAATTGTGACCAACAAGGATCCTTGCCCTTCCACTTCTAGTACGAATTTGCCAAATAGGTTCCCCGTTACAAAGATAATCTTGAATTTTTCTTGATACTTGCTTTAGTGGCATTGCATTTCTCATGTATTCTGGCCTTATCCCCGATATTTCATACCTAAACATTAACAATATTATTGATCAAATCGTCTATATTATGTTAATTAATTAAACTTTAGTACGATAATTAATTAATTACCTATAGTTAGTGATGGGAATATTTGGTGCAACATAGGATTCAAAGAGGATTCTTTCATGTTCATCAATGAGGCAAACTCTTGCACAAATATCAAGAGAGCCATCGGTGCCACCGCCCACCATTTTGCAGGAAAGAGCAACAACTCTTCCTTGACTATTGCCAATTTTTAGGTCATCTTGAAAACCTAATCCCAACCTAGTCATGCGATAGAGCAAACCCTGAAAATTAACAAATATATTTAAAACTATGAGAAAAAAATAAGGTGTCAAATGAATAAGTTGAGTTACGTTTAACCATAGTTGTGTTGTTGGAATAAGCATACATTATTTGAGCGTGAGAATTGACATGATTCCTTGTGAGCCCTTAGTGCATTCCGGCTAGCAAGGAATGTCAAACAAATATCACATCCACGTTCCTTGAAAATCTTCTCACACTCAGCCTTTGGCAATGGTCCTAAAAATCCCATATAAAGCACAATTTGGTAGCAACGCATAATCATGTTACAATAATGTGACTAATTTAGCAGAAAAAAGTTAACTAGACTCGGAGGGAAGCTAGAATTAAGATTTTGGGGGTTGTAAATTTAGAGAAAAATATTGCAAATATGCTTGATGGTGGGGTTTGAAGCCACAACATTAGTGTGAAAATCATTTTCACCGCCCGACCCTTCCTTACCAGTGGCGGAGCCAGAATTTTCGATAAGAGGGTTCAAAATCTGAAGAAATAGACACACGAAGTAGCCGAAGGGGGTTCGACATCTACTATATATACCTAAAAAAATATTTTAACCATGTAAAAATAATATAATTTTCCGCGAAAGGGGGTTCGAAATGGTAAGGTGGCTCCGCCACTGTTCCTTACCACTGAGTTGTCAATCAAATTTGTTAGGGGTTCACAAGTTAATATATATACATATATTTATTTATTTAATTTTCTAGTACAAATACAAAGTCTACAAAAAAGCTAGAAGGTTCGTCAGAACCCACGAACCCCCACCTAGCTCCGCCTATATATCTAGACTAGTACTATTGCAACTTGTTGCTAAGAAGAAAAAAAAAAGATTACCAATGAGATGCTCTCGCAAAGATTCAAAAGATCGACAATGTTTTCTACAAATCCAACATATGGGTTCATGAACTGAATGATAAGATGTCCTCATGTGTTCAACTAGATGCTCCATTTTGTTGAACTGCCTATAGCATGCTGCACATTTGTTCCTGTAGTCCATGAATTTTTAGAGGGGTTAAGTTCTACGTACTGACAATATAATATAAACAAATTTGCACAATCTAGTCATTTATATATAAGGTAAGTAATGTAATTAGCTATGATAAAACATTATTTAACCCTTCATCATAGATTAAAATTCGCTGATATATAGTATAAAAATCGAATATAATTTAAATCTATTTGAAAGGATACTAATATATCAAAGAGTTAGTGCTGGGCTAGAGGAAAATCAAAGTTTATCAGAAGCTTGGTCTAAAATTCCTGAAAAATTAGCTTTTTATGATTACATAGGCAATAATCCGGGAAAAGGAGGATTATTCAGAGCAGGTTCAATGGATAACGGGGATGGAATAGCGGTTGGATGGTTAGGACACCCTATCTTTAGAGATAAGGAAGGGCGTGAACTTTTTGTACGTCGTAGTATGCCTACTTTTTAAATACATTTCCAATCGTTTTGGTAGATGACGATGGAATTGTTAGAGCCGATGTTTCTTTTAGAAGGACAGAATAGAAGTATAATGTTGAACAAGTAGGTGTGATATATAAGATACAAAAACAAGTTAATTAGTAAAACTTTGGGAAAAACAAAAACTACATATGTATATATAGTACCTAAGAGTCTCAGAAGACTCATATCTATGATCCATGACAGTAATAATAGTGCTTGAAAAATATTGAAAAGTGAATAGAGAAGGGAGATTGGTGAGAATAGTTGAGAGGGCATGAAGGTATTTATATAGGTAACAGAAGATGAAGCCTCTGACACTTTTTTTGATGCTACAATATTAAAATATCGTGTATACAATATAGATTAAAATTTTCATTTTTATAAGATTGGTATATTAATTAATATATATATATATATATATATATATATATATATATATATATAGAGAGAGAGAGAGAGAGAGAGAGAGAGATTGGTTAACTATGCAAAATTAAAAACCTTTGTAGTAATCAAAATCCTTGGGACCCCACTATTTGGGCTATACTCAGAGACGAAATCAAGATTAAGAGTTTGTGGTTTTTTAATATATAGTGGGGTTCAAATCCACAACATTAGTGTGAAAAACATTTCCACGACTTCTTCATTACCATTGAGTCATCAAGCAATTTTGCTAGGGGCACAAGTTAATATACATATATTTATTTAATTTTCTAGTACAAATATAAAATCTAATAAAAATATTGATTCGATCGAACCAACGAACCCCACCTAGCTCTGTCCTCTGGCTATACTAGAATATTTGACAGCACCATGTCCTAGAATCAGCAAGACCACTCATATCTAAGGTTCTAAAAAAATTTGAAAATTTTACATGTCAATATAATTCATTTATTCATTTTCTAAATTTACCAACCATACTTGAAAGGTAAACATTAAGTAATATATTTGTAGTTTGACTCTTGTGTAACCTAACTAATTAGGTGTACATATCAATTTGGGGATGTCAAATGGATGAGCTAATTAAATGTTGAATTTATGATATGTTAAAATAAAATGAGTTAATAATAGGTGAGCTATTAATCGTTTAAGTATTACTTGGACTGAAATTGACTGAATCTAGGATAAGATACATAATAGTCATGTCCCAATTAAATTGTTTTTAAAAAATAATTTGTTAAATTACCTAATAATTTTTAATTCATCAAACAAAAAAAAGTTATTAAGAAAAATATCCTGACAATAGTTTTCATAGATCTATTTGATAGCTACATATATATTTCAAATCAACCTATAACTTTTAGATAGGATGAATAAGACTGATCAAATGTGTTAAGAGTTATAAATATGTGAACAAATTGTTAACTCATTCAAACTCAAACAATTTAAATATGAACTAATTTTATCATCCTATCATCCTTAAATATGATATATGCTCAAGTAAAAGTTAAAGTTAGGAATGAATGAGATGCCAGAGTTATGGTTGTAATTATCTTCTATATGTGAAGTGATCAGAATAAATGCTTTATTGATACATATATATCTTTATCAAAGACTCTTCAAGTTAAAATTAATTTCGACCGTACATGTCCTGTCAGAAAGGCCAAAATTAACGTTAATATATACTTATGTTATTTGAGTTGACAAAGATATATTGATATAAAGAATATTTATAGTACTATATGATATAACAGGATAAGAAATTGAAAATCTTAATGCAATATGTCATAATGCACTAAGGTAAAAATGGGACGTACTATCGGAAAAAGCATTATTAGAGGCTGTAGATAAGGTATTCCTTTTTTATGATCATGTTAGTTTTACTTTTACCTATTCACATAATCTTATTTAGATTCATAAAGGGACTGATTCAGGCGGCTGCAAATTAATTAAGCTCTGTTATAGAGTATTCATGAGGGAGAGATATGTGTATTTCTTTTTTGAAATATGATAAGGATTTATGTCATAGCTTACTGTAACAATTTCAGATGTTATTATGCCTAAATTATTATTCCTTTTTCACTATTTAATTGTGGTAAGGGTGGTGTGTGTAGGATGGTTAAAGTATTAGGAACAGGATTATTTCTTTTTTATTGCCAATACATATTAAATACAGAGATACTAACAACGAGAAAAGTGTGCGAGAGAAGGAGAGAGGAGAGCGGGATATACAGGAGGGTGGGGAGCAAGTTTCTAAATACATGTGACTCACACTAGATACATGTATCTGGGATATCAGATATAGAGAGAGTGGCGAGCACGATAGGAGAGTGACGAGCGAGAGAATTAGATACACATGCAAATCCATTTGGATATAGTGTATCTATAACAAATTATACTTAATTTTAACCTCATGTATATCTGGGCGCGCTAGATACATATATCTGAAATCCAAAATCTGATAAGTTTTATAATATTATAAACTAGCATGAATCTAAGTAATATTAACTCCTAAACTAGAACTAGGGATATGTGAACAAACTGTATAATCATACTATATATAATAATACTTTGAATCATACTATATTATATAATAATTATGTGAATCATACTTTTTTATAAAGCCTACGTAATCATATATAGTAGGATTCGAAGTCAAAGGTTGTGGATGTGATTGGGCGTTACTTGCCCACTTGCTACCTATGATTATCTAAGATACTATCAGATATGTTTTTTTCCTCTAAAGTTACGATCTTTGTCTAAGATTTTCACCATAAGATATTTGGTCAATCTTTTTTTTTCACTAACAAATACTGGAAGTCACTCTATTTATTCAACTCTATCTTTTTGACCAAAATGGGACCCCACTTAATATATTCGTATATTATGGATGCTGCTAGAGAAAAGATGTAAATTTAGTGATTTACAGTTCAATAATAGTAGTAATTTAGTAGATTCTTGTGAGTTGGGACCCTTCTATTCTTCTTTTTGGTTCTAGCTGAGGGAGGATACATTAGAAAGTTAAACTTCTATATATTGATGATAGTGGAAAATTTCCATCTACTATCTAATAATCACCCAAAAGTAATTACTGAAAAGAATAAAAAATGTTCTTTAACGCATTAGAAATGATTTTAAAATGTATTTGTTTACCAACGGGATCAAATAAATCTGCTACCTTATAATGGCTCAAAACACCCTTACTGTAACATGATTCAAACATGTCATCCTTCTACCTATTGGATAAAATTTGTCTCTGACATTGTTTTCAGGCTTAAATAACGTTAAAGACAAATTTGATCTATTTTTAGTACATTAACGACATTTTTTAGCCAAAAAAGTGGAAGAAGGGACAAATTTAATCCAATAAATGAAAGAAAGACATTTTTTAATACGTTAAAGACATTATTTATCCTTTTCAAAAATGATTGCAACTATCTTGATAAGTGGAGTCATATATATATTATCTGGGAAAAAAAAGTCGACATAAACTACAAGTTAATTGATAAATATTTAAGTTAGCCGATAAAGGAAAATTAATTAGTTTAACCATTAACACAGTTTAATCGTTATAATAAATTGCTTGCAATAATTCTTTGGTAAATTATCATGATCTCCAATTATTATCTGTAAAATTGGCTTATAACTAAAATAATGCAAAAAAGAAAAATATTGCACTAGAAGGGTATAAAATTAGAAATAATTGTGTTCATCGAAGCTATTCCATAGAGGAGGTGAAATTGCTAATCTCATAAAAATATCCATTAATTTATATCTAAATTCTAATTCCATCGACTAAACAAACCTTATTGATGATGACTTTTAATTAAATTTGTTCCCTTTCTTTATAATAATCTTTATCGCGGTCAAGTATTTGTTTACGTTATGTAAGAATAATTTTATGTAAGTTGTGTGCCACGTGTTTTCAGACCTAAATATTGTCTAGTATGGGACTGTCAACTAATGAAGGTGAAAAATACGTAACGAATATGAATGAATATGCCAGAGAACATTTAGGTTTTTATATATTTTCATTTAAAATAAGTTTTATATAAATAATAAATAATATGAAGGTAGAGACAGGATGGGTTTAAGAAGTGATTGTGCGAAGGAGTGGGTGGTGGGGTGGTGCCGGAACTAGGATGCTAGCCTACTAGGTAGGATATCGAGGGAAGCAAATTCAGAATTTAAAATTTAAAATTTTATTATAATTTTAAATTAATATATAATAGATTGAGTTTATAATTAAATACTTATAAATATTTGATAACATTTTATATATGAGTAAAAATTGTTGACTTCCATTCTCTAAAGACCCGCCCTAATCGGTGGACGGTGAGGATGGGTGGAGTTGTTTTTTTAGCAATAAATATTTAATATTTTAGTCTCAATAATTTGTGTGAGGTTTATAATATTTATAATTAAAACCATCACTAGAAAAATGTAATTATCTGATTAATTCTCTTCAAGACCGTCAACTCAAAGAACTCTTGCTTATTCTTGAATCAATGAAATACTTGTTGTTGAAATTTCACTACGAAAGCGGAGTCAAACTTTAATCACAAACATAGAAGTATGCAAATTTGTGGTTCACCACTTAAATGAAGTGTTGATGATAGGAAAATACATTTAACATAATATTTTCCAAAAAATTATTTCATTGGAGAAATCTTTAAAAATACGAAAAAATGGATATACAGACAATTATTCTCTTTGACATGGCTCCTTTGTTTTTTTCTCTTTAACAAACGGATTGGGTACGTAACAAATTAAAAAGTTAGAAAGCATAAGATTCTTCAAAAATCAAAACGGTCAAAAGGCAAGCCACCAATAATCGTGTACGTAGAGGGAGTGGATACGTACTGATGTGATGTATATGTGAATATTGAAGGATATCCCTATATTCATCGCTACAAGGCGGAGTTAAAAATTAAGATACAAAATTTGCGTTTAAAATAATAAAATTCTAGGTTTATATATTTTAAATTTTGACTCTGCATGCATATGAAGGTTATGAAACCATTTTTTGTTCTTCTTCTGCAATTTGCTACAACTACTGCTATTTGTGCTACTTTAATTTGACAACTAGAACAGAGCTTGCTCTCATAATCTAAATAATTATCGTCTCGATTTTATTTTATGTGATACCTTTTGATTGAACCCTCCATTAAAAAAAGAATATTTTTTTTTTTGCTTTTTTTTTTTACCCTCCCTAGGAGCTCCCACCTCTTTTGCTCCCTTGGTGACTTGAACTCGCAACCTTCGGGTTGAAAGTGAGGGATGCTTACCATCCGAGCAACTTC